AGGAGGAATAAAAGTTAAGGAAGCTGGAAACCGAATGATGGAGAATGATCACACTTAATAAACCACAGTTTTGCCCACTACTGTTCCATTTTTCTGTGAGTTTCTCTTCTTAACATTGTTGCTTCAACCTGTGAAATACAGGGAAGGACAAAATTGACCATAAAACACAGCCACAACTAATCTGTTGATATAGTTATGTCTGCCCAGCTACAAGTCACTTCCTATCCACTGTGGGGGTCACACAGTCACTAAGAGAATACTCTCTTTAATTACCCCTACCTCCAACCCTCCACCCCCATCTACTGCACTGTTATCTCAGTCCCAAAGTTCACAAGAAAACAATGGGTCTTGAGAACAGAATGAAAATACAAGGCCATGAGATCTGAAGTACTTTATAACGAATGCAGAAACAAGCCAGAATCATAGGGGTATATCAAATTATAACAATAAATCACCTGGTTCTGTTAGCTTCCTTTTAAAACTTTTCCTTTCTTCCCTGCCTAAAATTGGTTTTGTTCTGCAGAGCAAATTGAATGCATACTTCCTCTCTAGAACCCGATTATTTACTAATTGCTATTCCTTAATTCATTGCCTTTCTCTTTCAACCTCTTTCATCTCTTTTATACAATTGATATATGCCATACTCTGGGAAAAAAAACTGAGATTAAAATAGGCTTAAAAGCTAAATAGAAATCAACATTGTGGTGCTCTGGCTTTAAAGTCATCCTGATGCTGAACTGGATCCAGACAAAAAAAACAGAGTCATACTTCAATCACCCCTAGAATTTTACAGAGGCTGGCCCCTTCTAAAAACCAACGGAGTTATGTTATACTTATTCCTATGCTTGTTTTGAGACAGTCTCACTCTGTCACCCAGGCTGGAGGAGTGCAGTGGCATAATCATGGTTCGCTGAAGCCTTGATCTTCCGGGCTCAAGAGTCTCTGGGTAACTGGGACCACAGGCACATGTCACCATGCCCAGCTGATTTTCTCTTTAAATTACTTGTAGAGATGGGGTCTCCCTATGCTGCCCAGGTTGGCCTCAAACTCCTGGGCTCAAGTGATCCTCCCACCTGGTCGCCCAAAGTGCTGGGGTTATAGGCATGAGCCACTGCGCCCAGCACTCCTATGCTTATTTAGGCTCTGTGCTTCTTTCGAAAGTTTTTCTTTCACACACATTTCTCCAAAATGGACAATTGTTCACATTTTATCATCCATGAAGTTAGGATGCTTTTTTTTTTTTTTTTTTCTTTTTGAGACAGAGTCTCTGTTGCAGACTGGAGTGCAGTGGGATCTTGGTTCACTGCAACCTCCGCCTCCCAGGTTCAAGCAATTCTGCCTCAGCCTCCCGAGTAGCTCGGACTAAAGGCGTGTGTCACCATGCCCAGCTAAAATTTGTATTTTTGGTAGAGATGGGTTTCACCATGTTGGCCAGGATGGTCTCCATCTCTGGACCTCATGATCTGCCCGCCTCGGTCTCCCAAAGCGAGGATGCATTTTACAATCAGCGATGTGTCCCAGTTTAATTGGGCATGACTTTTATTTCTTAGTGGTAAATAGTGAATTTCTCCATTGAGGACAGCTTAGATTCAACAATATACAAAACTTTTTCACTTAACAATAAATTCTAGCTCTCAGGAGTATGGAATTATGTAACGAGAAAGAGGTGAGGACCACATTTGTGGCTGGAAAATAGAATGCTATCATTTTAATTCAGTTTTTGCCCTTGCAAAACAGGAACCCAAAGAAAGAAATGAAGTAAAATAAGGCTCTTGTGAAGCAGAAGATAGTTTTAAGTACCTTAAAATAGTTTAAGTAGGGAAGTCCAAATTACAGAGGCAGTAGCACTTTTACCCTCTGGAAAAAGGAATACATTCATAGAAGCTAAACGAACCCAAGGAAGGTCAGAGGAACAAATAGCAGAAATTGCCTCAGCAGCACAGAATATGCAAAAGTGACTGCCTCCACTCTACATCAAGTAATGTGTCCTCTCTGAAGATGAAAAACAACTTTCTAAAATTCTTGGAATTTTTCAGGCTGCTATAGCAAGGCAAAGGAGTCTTAATGGAAATAGAGACCAGGAGCCCAGTGAAGTCTACCCAGGAATCTTAGCCAGTGTAGTGAAGCAGCAGTGAACATCTATGCTTGAATATTCTTCTCAGGGTGATAGACAGTAGTCATTGGATCAAGCAAGTCAGGCAAATATATAATTCTGCTTTACAGGGTAAAGTTCACCATGAACAGTCATCTATTTCTACTCCCTATTCTAGAAAAACAACAGTAGGTCACCTCACAGAATACCAGGTAAATTCACATTGGTATCAAGGAGTCCAATATTATAGGTGAGGAGAATAGTACACTATAACAACAAACTGATACGGAGATTTTGACATTTACACAGTTTTAATATTTTTAGTAATGTTTTGGCTAGCTATACCCATCATGAAGCAAGAAACACTGATGTTGAAACATAATTTCTTTTTTTTTTTTTTTTTTGAGATGGATTGTCACTCACTCTGTCGCCCAGTTGCCATCTCAGCTCACTACAAACTCCACCTCCCGGGTTCAAGAGATTCTCCTGCCTCAGTCTCCTAAGAAACTGGGACCATAGGTACGTATCACGATACCCACTGATTCTTGTAGTTTTAGTAGAGACAGGGTTTCACCATGTTGGCCAGATTGGTCTTGAACTCCTGACCTCAAGTGATCCACAGGGCTAGGCCTCCTAAATTGCTGGGATTACAAGGTGTGAGCCACACGCCCAGCCAGAAATACAATTTCATGAAGAGCATTAAGAATGATAACACTGCAAGTTTAATCTCAAGATGATCTTCAACAGATTCTACAAATTCCATTCATTTGACCAAAAACATTAGATAGCACATCAAGCCATCTCTAGGACTTTAAAAGTCAATGTAAAAAATGGTCATCTTCAGGAATATGCCCACCTTTGGGAAAAAATTGTAATGATATTATACTTAGGTTTTATTTTATTTTATTTTGGAAACAGGGTCTTGCTCTGTCACCCAGGCTACAGTACACTGGTGAGATCACAGCTCACTGCAGCCTCAATCTCCTGGGCTCAAGTGATCCTCCCACCTCAGCCTCCCAATATACTCAGTTTTTAATTTTAAGTTGATGTTGTGGTCTACCTTGCTCCTAATACCAACAACTCCTGCAATGACTGATGTTTAGTTTAGGAAAAAAATCAAAGAAGTTAAGTCAATTTTTGTTTCCTCCTATTATCATATTGCTTTTCTTGTCATGCAGTTCACCTAGGCACATTCTTCATCCCATAAGGAACCCTCAGGATCTCTATCCTTACCAACATGGTAACAACAAAGTCAAAGACATTCCAGCCACTCTTCCAGAAAAGGGAAAAGTTGGATAGCCACTTAAGAAGGATCTCCAGGATGAAAATAAGCAAGATAAACCAAGCTGCCACCTCCAAAGTCAGTTTCAATGGCCATGATTTGGTATTTGTGGATTCCAGCAATTCTGTGAGGATAGAGCAAAGGAGGAATAAAAGTTGAGGAAGCTGGAGAGCAGATGATGGGAATGATCACACTTAGAAACCACAGTTTTGCCCACTACTGTTCCATTTTCTGTGAGTTTCTCTTCTTAACATTGTTGCTTCAACCTGTGAAATACAGGGAAGGACAAAATTGACCATAAAACACAGCCACAACTAATCTGTTGATATAGTTATATCTGCCCAGCTGATCACTTCCCCTATCCACTGTGGGGTCACACAGTCACTAAGAAGAATACTCTCTTTGATACCCCCTACCTCCAACCCTCCACCCCCATCTACTGCACTGTTATCTCAGTCCCAAAGTTTAAAAGAAAACAATGGAGTCTTGAGAACAGAATGAGAAATACAAGGCCATGAGATCTAGAGTACTTTATAACGAATGCAGAAATCTATATCATTCCTAATATTCTCTATATCATTCCAATTTTAGTACATGCGCTGCCGAAGTGAGCACTGATTAGTGTTTTCTAGACAGAGATCAGGAATAGGCACATGCACGTGTAATATGTAGAGATTGGGATAAAACCAGTGATCATATTTGAGAATCAGATTAACATTCATTGATCACTTACAATATATCACATACTGTGCTAAGTGCCTAAATGCATTACCACATTTATCCCCACATTCTTATGCAGTAGCACTGCTATTATTCCTTTTTTTTTTTTTTTTTTTTTTTTTGAGATGGAGACAGAGTTTCACTCTTTGTTGCTCAGGCTGGAGTGCAGTGGCTCAATCTCAGCTCACTGCAACCTCCACCTCTGGGGTTCAAGTGATTCTCCTGTGTCAGCCTCCCGAGTAGCTGGGATTACAGGTGCCCATCACCACACCTGGCTAATTTTTGTATTTTTAGTAGAGACAGGGTTTCACCATGTTGGTCAGGCTGGTCTCGAACTCCTGACCTCGGGTGATCCACCCGCCTTGGCTTCTCAAAGTGCTGGGATTACAGGCATAAGCCACAGCGCCCAGCCTATTCCCATTTTTCTTTTTATCTTTTTTTTTTTTTTTTTTTTTTTTTTTGAGATGGAGTCTCACTCTGTCGCCAGGCTGGAGTGCAGTGGCACGATCTCGGCTCACTGCCATCTCTGCCTCCCAGATTCAAGCAATTGTCCTGCCTCAGCCTCCAGAGTAGCTGGGACTACAGGCACCCACCACAACGCCTGGCTAATTTTTGTGTTTTTAGTAGACACAGGGTTTCACCACGTTGACTAGGATGGTCTCAATCTCTTGACCTCATGATCCACCTGCCTCAGCCTCCAAAAGTCCTGGGATTTCAGGGGTGAGCCACCGCGCCTGGCCCCCATTTTTCAAAAGAGGTAACTGACTCACAGAAACCAAGCTTAACCACTGGAGTGTACTGCTATTTAAAGATGCCTGATGACAGTGTGGTTTGAATTTCCAAACCCAGAATAAACATGGAACTAGCTGCCCCACTCTCAAGATCAGAGCTAAAACCACTCACTATTCTTTTGCTTTCTCTTTCCCTCTCCCTATTGTGTTCTATTTGTTTCTTGGAATAGACTGTATTTATATTACTATACTTTGGACAAGCTTCCCGGTCTCTTAGCCAAATTCTCTCCCCTCACCCAGCTGTCCCCCAGCTCTGCTTACGAGAAGAACACATGGTACACCAGGTCCTGACGAGGTGAACGGGTGTAGTCTGAGAAGAAGTAGACACCAGTCACAGCAAAAATGTAGAAGAAGATGAGCAGCAACATCAAGAGGAAGGTCATGCCCTAGAGGCCATAACCTCAAGTCAAATGTGGGCCAGACTAGGCTGATTTCCACCAACAGCCCAGTCAAGCCTACCTGGCAATCCCACACCAAACCCTCCCTTGTACCCCTGAACCCAGTCATCTCTGAATCACAGCACCTGTCCCCAGCCCCTTCTCATCCAATAACATATCACAGGACATTTCATTGCCTTCTTTGACCCATCAAAATTTGTTTCATACATACATATATATATTTTTAGATGGAGTCTCACTCTGTCACCTAGGCTGGAGTGCAGTGGCACAATCTTGGCTCACTGCAACCTCTACCTCCTGGGTTCAAGCTATTCTTCTGCCTCAGCCTCCTGAGTAGCTGGGATTACAGACAAACACCGCCAAGCCCGGCTTTTTTTTTATTTTTTATTTTTGTATTTTTAGTAGAGACGGGGTTTCACCATGTTGGTCAGGCTGGTCTAGAACTCCTGACCTCGTGATCCGCCCCCCTCGGCCTCCCAAAGTGCTGGGATTACAGGCGTGAGCCACCGCACCCAGTTGCCTTGTTTCACATTCTAGGTTAAGCCCTCATATTTATCTACCATGCCCCCTGCTTTAGCTTGCAACAGTCCAATCACCTTGAGGGCCCTGACCAGGACCAAAATAATAACTCGAATTTGACGGAATTGTGCAAGGAGTTTGAGAGACCTCAGCACCCGGCAGATCCTCAGAAGCTGAAGCCACACCGATTGGCCTGTTACCCCTACCAATACCACAACCTCGGGAAGCAGGGACTGTGGAAAACACACAGATTATTAGTAAAACACACCCCAAGGCACGCAGGCACACTTGCACCTTCTTCATCTCATCCTCTTCATTGTTGCCTGGGCATTATCCCTTGAACAGTATTCTCTGATAATTGTTTCCTATTCAGCCTTTCTATACTAAGTTGCTTAAACGCTGTACTTCGGCCGGGCGCGGTGGCTCACGCCTGTAATCCCAGCACTTTGGGAGGCCGAGGCGGGTGGATCACAAGGTCGGGAGATTGAGACCATCCTGGCTAACACGGTGAAACCCCGTCTCTACTAAAAATGCAAAAAATTAGCCGGGCGAGGTGGCGGGCGCCTGTAGTCCCAGCTACTCGGAGGCTGAGGCAGGAGAATGGCGTGAACCCGGGGGGCGGAGCTTGCAGTGAGCCCAGATCGCGCCACCGCACTCCAGTCTGGGCAACAAAGCGAGACTCCGTCTCAAAAAAAAAAAAACAAAAAAAACAACGCTGTACTTCAACTTGCTCAGATATAAAAAGGGGGATAAAATTCATGGTTATTTAATTGGGTTATCGTGGAGAATAAATGAGGTAATGTAAGGAAAACACTTAAAATAGTGCCTGGCACTTAATAAGTGCTCAGTAACAGGCAGATGTTCTTGTTGGCA